AGTCTTGCTAGTAATTCTGTTGATATTGGACATACCTGAAATTTTCACGACACGTTAATTTTTCGAATTTTGCGATTTAAAAAAAAAAATCGCAAAATTAAAGTGATGTGAATAAGTAAGTATCGGAAACATAACACATTATGTTACTGTCGACATATAATACCGCCATTGTGTTTTTGTTACTTTTGATGTTATTGTACCTTTGATAGAGTCAGTTTACTAAACTCAAAGACATGTTTAAGTCACATTGCCAAGGAAATAAGTTTTGTATTACGCAAACATGCGAAGTTAAAGTGATTCAAAATACAATTTTTTTTGCAAAATCACAGAATTTAAGTGTCGTGAAATATGCCCACCCCCAAATCACGAAATAAATGTGTTGCTAAAATTTCATGTGATAAGGTAGCCAACCACAATGCTCGGCTAGTAAAAAAGGTTTTGGCTAGTAACATCTAAGTTATCACTAGCCACTACGCTAGTAAGTTGAAAAGTTAGTGTCGAGCCCTGTACTCATCCGGGACGACCGGGTGGCAAATATACATATCTTATTAGATGTTTTGGCGTGTAGTATTGCTGTATATTTTTACGAGTTGTTTTTTACAAGTTGTCAATGAGTAAAAATATTAAGCAATACTACACAACAAAACATCTAATAAGAGATTTATTATCCAAATGCTGTAGTCAATAAATTTATCATTGAAAGAGAGAGAGTGTGAAAGTTTTGCGTGCCCATGCCGATCTGTATGGAAAACAGGTTTAAGCGTACAATATCGCTGTATAATTATTTGTACTGTTATTTGGACAGTATTCGCTGCAGTTGGATGATAAAAATATATCCTAAATAGTGATAAAGTCATGAATACATCAGGAACACGCTGTAAATACGTGAACATGTACAGTGTAGCTACATTCAGATTCCATAACATTGTTCATCCATCCTAACATACTTGAATCGCTTTTCATTTGTATGAACACAGATGTGTCTGGTCAGCTGACTGCTTTTCTTGAAAGACTGATGACAACCATCATAATGACACTGCCAAAAGAAAAATACCAAAAATAAAAAAATAAAAAATTAATATATTAAATAATTGAGAAAAAAATGATGAATGCAAAGCAGTATCATTTACTAGTATTTACATGTAGTTTAGAACCTTTGAGAATCAATATAAGATACAATGTAACTGTAACTAACTACATGATTGTATACTTGAAAATAACTACATGTAGTACAGAGTTTACTGTAGGTGATGTCAGCCAACATTATTGATTGACACTTGGTTGGTTGATCGACACTTGAACGACACTTGGTCATTAAGCTGGCCAAGTATTGGTCGACACTCGGCTGATATGCAGCTGATATATCAGCTGACAGTTGGTTGAGGGTTGGTTGAATATCAGTCAAATGTCAATTGAGTATTGGCCGATATTTCAGCTGTTACTCAACCGACACTTGACTGACACACATACTGTTTAATGTATTGCCCAGTACTCGACCAATACTCAACTGACACTTGACTGCCTGTTGGCTGTGCATCAGCTGAGATTTGACTGATGTATTGACCAAGTGTAGGTCAATATATTGGTTCATATTCTCAGCCAACACTACATTCTGCTGGCTAGAAAAATGTAAATGAAAATAATGACAATGATAATGATAATGATAATGAAGTCCAAAGATAATGATAATGATAATAATAATAGTAATAAGCAAGCGAATATTAAAGTTAATAGTCGACGTTTCAGAGTCATCATATCTACAATGACTTGAACTTCACTACTCTAACTTTGACTATCTTTACCTTGAAGGGGTTGTTGTGAGATCTTTTTGCATGCCTATCCATGCTGTGCTTCAGAGAAAATGTTTGTGTACAGCCTGGATAAGAACACCTATTACAAATAAAATGGAATATACCGTACTTCAAAATGTGCAGGTAAAAGCAAAACAAACACAAAAACTACAATTACAACAAAATAAGCTGTTCAAAACAGTTAATTTAAAGCATTTTTTTTAAAAATATACTCCCTTGTGGTGTGAACATGTGTGTGTACATGTGTTTAAATACATTAAATATAAACATTGCCTTTAATATATAAACAGGGTAAAATGTGAAAGAAGATCAATGGAATTTAAAGTATACTTGAAGGATTGTCCTGTGTGGATGCCCATGTGTCGCTTCAGATGGTATGGTCTAATAAAAGATTTACCACAGCCATCAAATGCACAGTGGTATGGTCTCTGAAAAATAAAACAATATAGCAGGAATACAGGTATTTATGTACATCTACTTTACACTTCTACTAAATCAACTTATTATTATTATATAACAATTTTACAACTACTCATACGATTATAATAAATTATTATTAATTACCATTTTGTTACTGTTTTCAATATCTTTTGTTGGGGCTGAATATCAATTGGGACATTGTCCTGTTTTCTGCTGCAATTGCTGACACCTATGACTTATTTATTACTAAGTTAAAGTAACTGAGTCACCTTTTTTCTGTATCATAATGCAGATGTTCAGATTTTTAACTCTCTCACAACAGTCAAAGTCAAAATTGTTCCTGTATGTTTGAGAATATATTTTGCCATCTATACACATCTTTCTCTTTGAAATTATTTCTTAAATATAGAATTTGCCCAGTTTCACTGTAGGATAAAATGGCAATTTTATTCTGCACTCTGGACAACAAGAGCCATAATGAAGATAAGACTCTAGACCTGTCACCCACTGATTTCTTCCTCAAATTGTTGAGAAGTAGGACACACAGTCATTTACAGACTAAACATGTACAGTCTGTGTACCAAGGCCATTCCACTTTGATAACTCAAGAAAAAAAATATCCATTTGACTGTATTGACATGTTTCCCCCTCAGAAATAACCCAATTTCAGTTGGCATATATGTATACCCTCAGGAACAAGCTCTCCGCCCCCACCAACAAGATCAAAGAGGGTCCCCAATAGGTTTGGTGGGATGCGGGATTTGGCTTTTTTTCGCCGTGATATTCGGGATTTGCGCTGAAAACAGGGGCAGGAAGTGGGAATTACAATTACGAACGGGAGCGGGATTTCGTGTTTTTATGGGGTTGGGATGCAGGATTCGTAAGGGGAATAGAGGGGGATATGGGATTTAAATTCTTACATAACCTCATAAATTGACCAGCGCGAAAACTGCAAGCTGCTAGAAACGAACCTTTTGTGCATATAGCTGTGTCAGGTTTCTAATGAATAGCAACGGCTCTCCACCCTATCAGGTTCTGTCAAACATATCTATTATCGCTTGATTATGTTAGTATCATGAGACTCTATGAGGTCTTTGAGTCCTATTTCGATCATTTTTGTTGGCCTCTGATATTAATGACATCTGTCCATTGGCTCCTCGCGGCTTTGGCACCCATTATCGTGGCTTCGCTGCTTTCTTAGCGTGCTCAAATTGCTTAAAACCGCCAAACCACGCAGGCTATCCATTTCTGACCTTTTCGATGCTTGCACCTGTAATCTTGACCACCCCTTTGCTACCGATCCTTTCTAGTTTTTCTTAGTCTTTCGACCTTTTCCAGAGCACTTGAGCGGGCGCTTGGCTTGGTTTTGGCCAGGATGGCCACACCGGATGGCGCTGATAACGATTTACCGAATGAATTATGTGACAGTATAAATTGTGTCGCCATATTCACACCTTATTCACCATTAATTCTGTGGAATGTAAATGAACCCACACACTGATCGAAACGAGTAGGGGATGTAGTTCCGGGTGTGGTGGTCTATGCCTCATCTGATGGTTAAATGCACGGAGATATTAGTTGCATAAGCTACTCTGAAATCTGAGGGTAAATAAAGTAAGTATGTATGTATATTTATGAAAAGGATGTGCGAGCAGGAATGCCTTCATTCGAAACAAAAAGTTCTGAGCCCAGATTTCAAAGAAAATGAAGATGCTGAAAGCTTTGAAGAAAACTGTCAGGTGTGTTTACAGGCCATTTCACGTGGGCAGAAGAAAACAAAACAGAAAACTGTTTACAGAAAGTAACGTTATGATCATTTGTGCTTGGTTATCTGCTGCCCTTTGAATCCTTTTGTGATCTTCTAAGCGATACCTATTTTTAAAAGGTTTCTGCGTTAATTATTAAAGTAATAATTTAACAAATTAATAATTAACGCAGAAATGTCTTTGAAAAGTGGACGGGATTGGGATTTTCAGGCAAAAAAGGGCGGGATGGCTGGATTAACAGGAAAAAATGAGCGGGAAAGCGGGATCTGAGAACCCTATTGTGGACCCTCATCAAACAATGTCAATGGGGCACGTCATCCAGAAATGACCTTTATAGTCTGTTCAGAAGAACTCGTTTACAAGGGGAGGGAAAGGCATGGGTGGATAGAAAATGGATGTATGTGTCTGTGCCAGGGTACATTCCTCAAGACTCCCATGCTGAAGATATGCCAAGGCTTTTAAAATTTTTTGCCATGTGGCCAATGGTCAGCCATACTCCCAGTCTCTTTCTCTCATAGAGTCCTAAAGTGATGACGTCACAAAAATAAAATTTTTGATATGATGTCATATTCTTATAGAGGATCCTAAAAGATGCCCTCATCCCAAAAATTAGCTCTGAATTGCAATTCCCGATAGAGATATAAGGGATCAAAGTTTGATAGCATCCCATATACATGTAAACCCTTCAAAATTCATTTCAGTTCCTTCAGTTTAGAACTGACTCAAAATTAGAGAGATTTATATGGGGTAGTACCAAATTTTCATCCTTTATATTTCAGCTGGGAATTACAATTAAGAGGTAATATTTGGCAAGGACCCTTTTTTAAGGACGCTCTATTCGAAAATGGCGCCAAATCCCATAATTTTTCAAATTTATTCTTTTGTGATGTCACACTTTAGGACTCTATTGGTCTGCTCAAATAATCCCAATTTTCTTTGTATTATGCTCACTAGGAAAATTTGGACTCAAATGGATCATAAAAGATGCCTGTTATCGGCCGGGATGCAGTAATCAATATGGGGATAAAGAGAAGTTAAAAAGCCATAGCTATCATGTTTTTATTATATAAACACTAGTGAAATACCAGGATTTCTCCTTTTACTAAAAAATCATATCTTCACCATGCACAGTGAAGATACTATTTTTATCTTTCACGTGTGAGGATATTGGTGTTGCCATGATTACTAACATGATAATCAATTAAACTGGACATAGATGTGTTACTGTGTGATCGAAACATCATTGGATCTTCCTTGGATATCTTTGGTTATCTTCGGAAATCTTCGGTAATCTTCAGAAATTTTTGGAAAATGTTCGGAAATGTTTGTCTGGCCTTCGGACAACTTTTGGAGAATCTTCACAAATCTTCGGAAAGTGTTCAGAAATTTTTGGAAAATTGTAAAAAAATTTGTCATTGGCATGTTTATATAATAAACAGAATATTACATGCCCACTTGTGGATACGAATTTTATCTTCTCGTGTTCAACTCAATATGGTGATTGGAGGTTTTTGTATCCACGCTCGGGCATGTAATATCCTCTTTATATACCAGCACCAGCAAAAATAAATAGGAACACCACTATATGCCAAAACCTCCAATCACATGCTGGTACGCCACAACATGTTAAAGGCCGCGCCAAAGACCTTTGGTGTATTAAACCCACTCTGCATGCACTCTAGTATATACGGTATGGATATAAATGGGGGCACCCAATGGATTGTTTTGGTAAATTATCTGTTCGGAAGGCCTTTAATTCCCTCTGATTTTCTTAATAGAATTGTCAGCTTGAACTTTCGTGATATGAGAAATTTAATGTCTGTTGTTTTCGCATTGTTAAGAATGTCGTTTTGGGTACCAAAAAAGGTCAGCTATCGTTTATGGAAAGGCGATAAGACCTAAAGTTTTCAGAAAATGGGCAAAAAAGCCCTTATAAATTCGAGAATACTCAAGTTCCCTTAGAATAACTGAAGAGATAAAATTTTTTTAGTGTAACCTAAAATTAACCTACAGAGCTTTGAGAGTACTCCAGATAGCCTAAAACAGCATTTAAAAGCATTTAAGAGAAAACGGTCGTTGGGTGCCCCGGTATAAACTTGCCTGATATTTGTACCTGAAAGCTAGGATAAGGTTATAAGGCAGTGGTGTCCATGTCTCCAAAAGTAAAACATTTGGAATATTCCTGTCATTTAACAAGGCCAGAGAACGATCACTGATCAAGAACTTGACCGTAATTTGTACGTAATTCTGGTTTACAAAGAGTACAACGTCCTACATATAGCAAGCAACAACATTGAAAAATGTGCCGTAAGTCTTATCTTATAAAACCGCCTCTACCAAAATAATTTGCCGTGAAAAAAGAATTAATTAATCACTGTGCATGAAATGAGGTTCTTTTTTTTTCTGAAAATCCGTGCTTATTTGCTTCCGACATTATCCTTTAATCCGCGGAATTTTCACAAGCAGACCTCTCTTGATACCCACGTACCGGTGACGAACCAAAACGTACCCGCCACGCGAGAAGAGATCGAGATTTTCACTAGAAATTTAAACTTTCGCACATCCAAAATCGACAGAACTTGCACAGTGGATACAATATACACCTACCTCACCGGTGTGAGACCTCTTATGTTCTTCTAGCCTCCATTTCTTATTAAAACTCTTCCCACATTCCTTACAAGTTTTCCCGTCATCTTCCCCGTCCGCCATCTTTTGCTGTTTAGGGGATGAGAGTCTGGGTTCTAAGAACATTCGTTCTCAGGTTTTCTCACCTCCCTGCTCCGGGAGTGCAGGAAGATGAAAGACTCTGGGAACGAGATTGACAAGGAATCATTTGAGGCGTTTTTTTAACCTCGTGTCCACGTGACACGTGGACACCAAGTCTATGTGGAGACTCCGCTGCATTCCTGTACTTATCAGTGGCTCCCCTAACTGCTCGTGATTTACTAGCTTTTCTCGTGTTCTGATAATGCCCTCTTTCCGGGAGTAATAGCTCTGTCAATTCCAAGCCCGCCCATGNCCCCCCCCCCGATACTTTTATTATGAATTAAAATGCAATGCTTTTATACGATGCTTTCATTATGAATTAAAAAAGTCAATAACTTACCTTCGGAGGTTTCTGTTAGACTTTCTAGGTACTTTTGTATTAACCAACGACCCACACGCTTCTCGCCTCGATTCTCTCGTACGTAGAAGACCTATACGAGCTAGTTTCAAATGGGTTATATATCAGGAAAACAATTTACATCTACGTTCCTTACGCACTGTATGATTAATCCTTTTGATGTTTAATAAAGCATACAGCTGGCTTTCGTTTTTTCAAAAGTTCCAAATTACATTTCTCTTTATTTGACTAAATTGTCAAGTGCCCCATCCCCGATCGCGAGCAGCCTCTTGCGATCAAATGTCCCATAGTGGGGACCTACGACCTGTCAAATGCCCGTAAATGCCGGGGGAGGGTGATGGGTGGGTTTGGAATTGGCAGAGCCATAATATAAGCAAGCAGGTATAAATCACAAAAATAATTGCCAATCTACCTGTTAACCTTAATTAAAGATTTGGTCACTTTGTACACCTAAGTAAGGTAATAAGATGATAATATCTTTCTTTGGAACCGTAGGGACAGGGCTGCTTGGCTTGTTTCTGTTTCTGTTTAGGACGTCGTTAATGTTGTAAGTGATAATACCTTGTGGGTAGCCATTTTGAAGCAGGAGTTTGCGAAGGTCATCAAGGGCAGATTTAAGCAGGAAAGCGGAGGAGCAAATTCGGTAACAACGATAAGTAAGTGTACGAATGAGATTTATTTTGTACTTGGGTGGAGTGAAGGAATCCCATTTAGTATAAAGACCAGTAAACGTCTTTTTCCGGTAGATGGATTTGGCAAAAGTGTTGTTTGGGCAGCGTTTGATGAGGATGTCTGAAAAAGGAATTTCATTGTCTTGTCAAAATCAATAGTAAATTTGATACTCTCGTGACGACTGTTTAAATATCGCAGGAACTCATTAGCAGTGTCTTTGCTGTCA